TTTCCCTGGAGCAGTGCTAAACACACACCCCAGCACTAGCACAGGGGAACACAGAGGACTGCCAGACACCCACAGCCATACCCAGCCCAGCTGGAGAAGCTCCTACACTTCCAGAGGAAACATAATAAACATCAAAGTCTGGCAAACAACAGCAAAGGTCAAGGTAGGGAGGCAATCAGCTGGCTGCTGTGGCCCCGCTCCAGGGCATGGTGGCAGACACACCCTGTCCTGAGCAGAGGGCTGAGGTGTCTGAGACACAGGCACCAGCTGCCCTGCCTGTGCCAGAGTGGCACCTCTCCCCTTCTCCACTCCATTTTGCAATGAGTCTTCAAAATAAGGAGTGTGTTCTCCTAGGGGGGCCAAGAGACAGGGATTGCTCCTGCTCCCTTCCAACCCCAGGGCCAACAAGTAGGAAGCAAGACACCCCCCCTCCCTTCCCATGGATCACAACAGCCTGCTGAAGGGTCCTCTAGTTGCAAAGCTCCCAATGGGAGCAGGAGGGAGACACCCAAAAAGGAGAGGTTTCCAGGCCCTTCACCTCACTGCACCTCACCTCCAAACCAGCTTCTCAGCCAGGACTTCATCTGCCCCCCGATTTATTTACCCAGTGTTTACGATCCACATCTTCATCAGCATCCCACTTGCGTGTTAAGAAAGGGTGCTTTTTACTGATTATTTCCCCTTCAAAGAAAGTGGTGAGGGTTGGGTACTCCTAGGAGAGAAAGGAGACAAACAAGAGGTCAGATTTGTCACCTAGTGACAGGAACTCAAATGCAGATAGAGGTGCATATGCTCAGAATCTCATGGCAAGAGCTCCGGGCAATCTGAGGCTGGTGCTCCTGTCCCTCCAAGCAGCATGCTGACTCGTCCTGCCCCACACCTTTTAATGTCTGACTCGTATGCACACACAGCTTCCATCCTCTTATTCCAGCCTCTCTCTGCCTCTCTATTCACTTCATGAAACCAGAAGGAGCAGTGTCAGAGCTGGACTGCGGAGAAGCTCCCAGCTGGACAATCACAAGTGACCATTCACAGCCAGCACCGCTCCCCAGCCGATACCTGGCGGTTGCTGCATGATGGCTACAAAGCCCAAAGGCTGGATTGAGCCACCCCACCAGGGGAGAAGGTGCTCCTCTTCAGCTTTGCCTTGGCACCGAATTAGGAGAATGCAGGCAGGGAATAGCAGGCTCAGCTGGGCTGAGCAAGCTTCTCCAAGCGCTCCTGTGTAACGACAGACATGCGGTGCGCTGCAGCCGAAAGCAGCAGCATCCCTGGGAGACAGTTCTCACCAACCACCCAACACCATGAGCAGATCTTAGAGGATAGAAATGGAAGGAAGGGTGTAGAGATCTGACTGTTTGGATCCTGGTTTATTTTCTTTCAGCAACACACCACCACTGGGAGAGTGCCTATAGCTAACTGCAGGGTCAGACTTGGTTCTGCTGAAACCTTAACGGATGCCAGGCAAGCTGCCCTCATTCAGAACTCCAATCGAGGCCCATCATATTTCCTCAACATGCCAAGAACAACAGACCGAGGCTATTAAACTACTTAGTGGTCAAATTTACTGTACGCTCAACCCCTCCACTTCCTATTTCTGGTGGCAGCTTCTCCCACCTTGCCAGAAAAAAAGAAAACTCTTTACACAGCACCTTTTCTTGTTGCTTTGCAGTTAACACTCACCTCTGTAAGGCCTTTAATCTTCAAGTATCCACAGAGATAGGAGTTTTCCATATCCACATGCTAGAAAAGAGTGCAAAGTCCAACCATAAGCATAGGCATGAAGGCACCCAATTGATCCAAAGCAGTTTCTAACCCCTCCAAGGCTAATTTCAGCTTCAACTGGTACAGACTGCCCAGCTTACTGCCCAATGTTCACCCTGGCAGCCCTTCCCCATGGCTGGGAACCACTCAGAAAGATCATTTACAGGTGCCCAGCTCACCTCTGAGGGCCCCCACATCCCAGGCCTGACAAGACCCCCCCACACACACTGCTTCCAGCTCCACCACACTCAGGCAGCACCCTCTGCCCAGAGATCTCTAATGGGAAGCAAACCCCCACTCCTCCCCACCCAGAAGGAAGCAGACTCTCAGTTTTCTCCAAGTGAGAGCGCCATGGGCAGAATCACCCATGCTCCCAACCCCTACATTTCCCAGCCACAAACTGACATTCAGGTGAGGGAAGACTAAAAAGCATCTATTTACTGGAGATAATTCAGGGTAGAGGAAGAAAGCATGGCCCTGAGCTTCACTTTCTGCTTATTTAACAGGCCTGACCCACGCGCCTCTAATGCTCTGCTGGTTCTCTCTGCCTAGTACCCGGCCTGGCGCCACGGTGCACGCCAAGGCCTGCACAGAAGCCAGACGATGTCTTGTGTGTTTTGAAAGAGGCCTTTCTCCCAGATTTAATGCTTTTATGCCATCCTTCTTTTGAGTTATGGGGCCATGTCTCGCTGCTTCTGCTGTGCAGGAACTAGGCAGGGGGCTGCGTCTGTTCCAAGCACCTTTAAAACCAGGGGATTTTTCCAAGCTTTTCCCCAACATCTCCAGATCGGTTTTCAAAGCAAGAAGCGAGTTATTTGGGGAAGTGCAAACATCAGCTGTGAGAAGATGGATCTTCCCCACCTGTGATCAAAGAAAAGCGACGTTTCTTTGCGCTCAGCATAGACAGCCACCTCTTCTCAGCTGACACACGCAAAACAGCAGCATTTTTAGCACAAAGGCACAGCGAGCCCCTGCGAAAAGGCAGCGTGCAGTGAAGCCGAACAACCATAGGATGTCCCCACCACAGCAAACCGTACCAGGTACGCTTGTGCTGCTGACAAGTGGAGGACCCTACGTGAAAACAGATGGTCCGGTTCAAACGCTACCCCATCTGCTGACCCTGGGGCTCTGACACTACTCCACAACGTCAGCACACGCGTCAAGCTTCATCACTGCACTCGCTACACGCTCAATCACGGTCCCACAGATCCCGTGCCACCAAACCGGGAACAAAGCTGTGACTCGCAGGGTGCTCTATAGGAAAGCATGTATCAGATGTCTGGCTCGCCCGCATACTAATGACTCCACACCTCACCAGCTCTGCCCAAAGCAATCGTGCCAATGCCCAGGACTAAAAATAAAGCACACAGGGTGACAATGACTACAGGGAGGAATGGGAAAGACAGACAAGCCAGCGTCCTGATTCCCCAGCACAGCTGGGCACTACAGCTGTCTGGCTGCTTCCCTGCCACAGACAAACCACCACACTTCACCCCAGGTTTCCTGCTCAGCCCGGTGGAGCCTCCAACACCCCAGGGACAGGGAACCCTGGGTCCTAAGCCCAGCCAGGCCATACTTTGCTAGCCAGGGACTGGGACCTGGATCCCTGTTGATTTCCAGCCAGGCCTGAAATACAGGCTGTCCCGCTGGTAGGGACTTCCCAGAACACCACCCACTCTAAGCTGGGCCCTTACCCTTCCGCCCGTGGCACAGTGATGTACGGCCACTCCAGAGCCTGAAGGGAACGGGGAGGGGATCCCAGGTTATGAACCTTGCCAGTCCCAAGGGGAACAGGGCAAAGAGGCGGGGAGAAAAGGCTTGAGTGCAGCGGGCCCTCCTCAGTGTTTGAGAGAAAGGGAGCAAGGAGGTGGCCCTGGCCTTCACTGGGCCTGAGGGAAAGGGGTCTGTTGGGAACAGGACAGGGTCTTTTCCCCTCATCCTGAAAGGAAGGGAAAGCGCATGGGGGCAGGGGGGATAGAGATCCCTCCAGAGCCTGAGGACTCACAGCCGTTACAGGGTTTGATGGAACCAGGGGAATCACAGCCAGGTCAGAGGGGCGCAGGGGCAGGGGGGACACCAGGGCCTTTTCCAGGCCTGAAGGGAAGGGTCCCCCCTCACCAGGGCTAAGGGGAAGGGCTCTCCCCCGCCTCAGCCACCGGCCTCGCTGGGGCTCAGGGGACAGGGACAGGCACAACAACACCTGAGTTCTGAGGGAGCTGGGGGAGGGCAGACACCGGCCCGAGCCAGGAATCGGGGCCTGAGGGGAACGGGGGCGGGGAGGGCGATGGAAGCCGGGAGACCGCGGGAGGAGAGAAGGCGACCAGGCCCGAGGGAACGGGGCGACCGCGGCCTGAGGGGACCGCCGGGGCGGGAACGGCGACCAAGGCCTGAGGAGAGCGAGGCCCC